CCCATCTCACTTGCCACATTTGCATTAGTAACCCCCTCTGAAGTAACATTATTACTTTGATGGGCTTTGGAAATCTACTGCCAAGTCAGGAGTGCATTCTAATTTAGCCTATTTTGTAAAATGATGTGTGCGTATGCATGTGTGTTTGTGTGCGTGTGTGGGGGGTTTAAAGCTGTGTTCTGTTACACCAGCTCTCTGTGCAGCCCATAAACACAGGCCCTTAATGACGGGCTGGCTGGAGTGGTGGGAGAAAAAGTAATCACTCTTTTACGCGGGGAGATTATTCCCGGGTCAAAGGTCATGCCCTGTGGGTTCTTTTAAAGTAAATATGGAGCGTTATTCCTCCCTGCGTGCCCGTTACTGCCCCCGCTAGCCGGGCATGTAAATTGTGCATCTGCGGTAGACCCCCTCGATCGCATTAATAAGTTTAAAGGGAGTTTTTACATTATGTGGGCTTGCCTATTAAAGCCATTTGTTAGCTTTTTGCTTATGAGGACAGGCCTGGCAGGGAGCTGTATTACGAGAGTGAGGCTGCTGTAACGGCATGTTGTTAAATCACAGGCCACACACCGGGAGGATTAGCTTGAGTTTATGGGGCAAACAGCAATACTCGGCCCTCTCTCCCACTGAGGCTCATTCAATCAGCCACGTCAGATATGAAACCAGGGGTGGGGGGTGCTGAGCTGATGGAAGAGACAGGGTCCTCATACCTGCCCTCTGAAACTATCTCTGGCCTGCTTTTCATTTAAAATCCCCTATCGTCATCACAAGGCCTTCTGTTTTCCTTTTCCTTATCTTGTGAAGCAGATGCTAAATAAAGTAAAAAGCTGCTCTCAGAAATGGCAGGTCGAATGTACCCTTTTAAAGTGGTAGTTTGGCAAGAAATCAAATTTTAACGAACAAGTAATGGAAGCTTATATGCAACAGTTAGCACTGTGTTAAAACATGAGCATTTTATTTATTTTACTGCAATTGAATCCCACACTGCATTAATCCATACAGAACTAGATGTTATATTTCTCCATAATGCTAAACCAAGTAGATGTAAGATCAATTTCTGTATTTTCTAAATATTTTTGTACCTGCATCTGTATCTGTATTTATATCTGCATTGGCTATGAGCATTGACCCACAATTCTCATATCGCTGCATTGCTCAACAGAATGTTATACCCAAAACCAAAAATGAACATGTTTTGTTTGTTGTCTCTTCGCTGAGTGTTTGTGGTGTGATGGTGGGATTCTCTTGTGTGTGTGCCACCCATGGGATCAGTATTCTGCAGTTCATTGATGATCGGAGACATGTTCCTCTTCCATAATATGCCTCCAGACCAGAGCGTGAAAGTCATAAAGTTTAATGCTATTCACTCTCAGGTACAATCACTCCCTCCTCTTGGTGTCATGCTTCATTAAGTGCCATGGAGGACCTATGTGTGTATGTGTGTGTCAGACTGAAGCAGAGAGTAGATCTGTTTTCTGTGTAGCTACCTCTAGAGAGACATGTTCTGCAGCAGGAGGTGTGTTGCTTCTTTGGGTGTCGCACTGCGTTTGTGCCTTTGTGTTATACTAGCTGAGATAGAAGGAATAGTGCAAAAAATCAAATGTACACAATTTGCTTTTACCCAAATGTTGTCAATCAGCGAAGACATATTTGGTGTCCATAGCTTGCTTCATTAGTTTTGTACTCAAGCTATGAGGCTAACATAGCTAATGGAAGCTTATTTGCATCAATTAGTAAAATTAGACACCTGTATTTTGCAAATACTTTTCGGACACAAAAAGAACAATTTTTGTGGAAACCACACAAAGAGTTTTTGAAGCAAACAGTGCAGTTTGCACAGTGCTAATTGATGGAGAAGCTTCCATTATTTGCTAGCTACTTTAGCCTTGTATGTCTTGCTTGATTGAATACACTGGGATTTTGTTAATTTGATATGAAGGACTATTTCTTTAATGCTAATATAGCCATGTTGAAGATCATTAAACTCTATTCCAAAAAAAAAAAGTTGGGATGCTGTGCAAAATGTAAATAAAAGCAAAATGCAATTATGTGCATCCTGTCCATCATTCAAACCCTATATTTGATTGAAAATTGATAAAGGCAACATATCAAATGTTAATATCGAGACATTGTTTGTTTTTTTTTTTTAATATAGGCCCATTGGCAACTGAGGAGACCAATTACTGTAGTTCTGAAATTGAAATGTTTTTACGTTCTTGCTTGATATAGGATTTCAGTTGCTCATCAGTTTGGGGTCTCCTTTGTCGTATTTTTCAATTCATAATAGGGCAGGGCAATATGACGTCAGTACTTGTAGAACACAGACCAATAGCATGTTTCATTATAAAGAGAGCAAAATGAGTCCCATTTAACTGGAATTAGTGCAACACAGTGTGCCAAATATTAAATAAAAATCATTGTGTTCTTGAGTTTTTAATAATATTCCTTAAAATGTAACACCACTGGTTCTTTTTTCTTAGTTCCAACTGATAAGATGTCTGAAAAAATAAATAGCACGACATTTTGTGTATTGTGAAAATGTTTTAAAGTATTGTGATATTAGATTTTTGCCATATCGCCCATCTCTATTTCATAATGCACCAAATGTTTTCAATGGGTGAAAGTTCTGGACTGCAGTTAGGCCAGTTTAGCCTCTGGACTCTTGTACTGCGGTGCGATGCTGTTGTAATGCATGCAGAAAGTGGCAAGGCCTTCTCTGAAAAAGACATGGTCTGGATGGCAGCATATGTTGCTCCAAAACCTGTATATTTTGTTCAGCATTAATGGTGCCTTCACAGATGTGCAAGTCACCCATACCATGTGCATTTACACACCTTCATACCATTACAGATGCTGGCTTTTGAACTGTGCGCTGAGAAGAAGCCGTATGGTCCCTCTCCTCTTTAGCCTGCAGAATGTGGGGTCCATGATTTCCAAAAAGAAATGAAACATGTTCACAGACAGTGATTTTTGGAAGTGTACCTGAGCCCATTACATAATCATTTCTGTTTTTAATGCAGTGCTGCCTGAGAGTCCGAAGATCCACAGCCAGCCAGTACTGGTTTTTGGCCTTGTCTCCTGCATATAGAAATTTCTCTGGATTCTCTGAATCTTTTAATGACATTATATGTATGATGAACTCCCCAAGTTCTTTGCTATTTTACACTTTGCTGTTTTTACACTGTTGTTCTTGAACTGTTTAACTATTTGCCACAGAGTGGTGAACCCCTCCCCATCTTCACTTCTGAAAGACTCAGCCTCTAAGGGATGCTCTTTTTATATCCAATCATTTTACTGACTTTTTGCCAATTATCCTAATTTGTTGTTTGGATGTTCTACCAGGTTTTTTTTAGCATTAAATAGTTTTACCTGTCTTTTGTTCCCCCATCCCAACTTTTTAAAAATGTGTTGCTGGCATTAAATTCAGAAGGGGGCATATATTTTTCAAAAAACAGTAACATTTCTCAATTTTAACGCTTCATATATTGTCTTAGTACTATTGTCAATTAAACATGGGGTTTAAATGATTTGCACGTCATTGCATTCTGTTTTTATTTGCATTTTGCACAGCGTCCCAACTTTTTTGGGCACGGGCTTGTACCTTCATTCTTTGGCCTGTCCATGAGTGCTGAATTCTTTGACTTATGTTTAGTCACTGAGGAGACTTTTTTGAACATTCTTCAATAGTAATAATACTCTTGCATTCAGAACTAGAATAGAGCATATGTTCTAGAAATTGCAGCTATGATATAGAAAGCATTGTACTTGGTCAAGCTTCAGAACAGGCTTTTTCCATATGCTTCACAGGTGTGAAGGTCACCTGTGAACAGGGCTTTTGCGTGGCCTAGCTTGGTGTACTGAAACATGTGCGCACTTTCCACACTCCCCTGCTCTTGCGCTGACGCAGACTGCAACTTTTCCTCCCAGAACCTGGAGGGAAACGCGCCATGCACTCTTTTTTTTAATGTCATAGGAAAGGCTCATTATAGAAGGGGCATAACAATTCCTTCGTTAATTTTCCAGCAACCAGTTTTTAATTAATAGTGCAGGCAGTCTTAAACACAGAGTACACAAATTGCCTGTGGCCCTCATAATTAATTCTAATGGAAGAAATTAAAAATTGGTGGGGTGGATTCAGATTGTTCTGTGGCGCCACCATGGGTTCTAGATCAGTGGAGCGACTCTGTCAGAGGCAAGAATCTTCCAGGGGTTTGGGTTTTACAGCAAGCTCTCTCAGGGGTGAGGAATGTTTCCCATATCTGTGTGGAATGACCTTGTTGGGGTATCTTTTGGACTCTCGCTCTAGGCCTAAAGGCAGAAACAGTGTTGCAGTTTTACCCTCCTTTGAATTCATATGTGAAAGGATGAAATGCAATGCTGTGATTCTGTGAGAGAAATAGGATTCAGAATTAGTGTTGTGCACAAAGGGCACAGTATTATTACTGTAATGTGTATATTCTGGTATTTCTGTGTTAATATATGATCAACATATTTCATTCATGTGAAGATGTGTGAGACAAAGACATGGTCTTAAATGCCTTTGTCTCTTTGAGTACCTCTCAGCAGGCTGATCTAGCTGATTTTACAGTGTGGCTGCTGCTCAAGCTGGATCACAGCCCGGATGTCAGCTGACACCATTAGCAGCTTTCTCACACCCACAACCTTTTGTCCTCAATTTCTCATTTTTCTTACGTTTTTTTTCCCTTTGTCAGTTTCCTCTAGAACACGTTGTCATATTCATGTTGCTGTGATTACTTTTAAAGGTACTCTTTTTGGCCCATAGCTCTGGGTTCCAGGAATGGTCAACATGGTGAAAAATGAAATGAAACCGTGGAAAACCCCTATACTTTATAGTCATATTTTTCTTAAATAAGGTGCCTGACAAACTTCCTATTGCACCTTTCAAAGTACTGTCAGATGAAATAAAACATTTTTGCATTGTAAAATAAAATGTTTAAATAATTAAAGCATTGTGACATGTTGTGCTTTTGTGTATTTAGGCCCCTGCATGTCCTGGTGTGTAATGCAGCAGTGTGTACGCAGCCGTGGCATCTGACGGAGGATGGGCTGGAATCCACCTTCCAAATATGCCACCTTGGCCATTTCTACCTGGTGCAACTGCTGCAGGACGTGCTGCGGCGGTCAGCTCCTGCACGTGTCGTGGTGGTGTCCTCTGAATCCCACAGGTCAGAGCATATACAGCTACAGATTCCTCCACTCTATGTTCAGGAGACCAGCCAGGGCTTCCACTTAGACGTGTTTCTGCACAGCATCATCACGGAGATGCGCACGCAACTAGGGGGCAGAAAGCAACAAAAAACAGCACTCTTCACAGCATAAAGCAACAATGACAAGGAGTTGTTGTGCAGTAAACTGCACCAACCATAGAGAAGGTGGTTGGAGAATGTTTAATATCCTAAGGGGATGACATCCCTTTGCCAAACATTATGGATCCAGGCCATCAAAATAGGAGCTTGGGGTCCCAATGGCCCCAAAGGCAGCATTTTGGTCGCGTTTCCTGACACAGTGATTTAAACGAGGCTGAAATTGGCTTCCTGTTCACTAGCTTCTTGTTTGAATTTTCCCGTTACACCTTAAATGATGCCTTAGTGGGCAGTGGCCTGAGGTGCCAGAATGTAACTGCTGCACCATTTAAAGTGGGACAGGAATATTTGAACAAGAAGCTGGTGAGAAAGAAACTGACTTCAGCTTTGTGTGATTTAGGCTATCAAAATATCCTGCCAGCAGTTTTATGTAGAGCTCTACCTATAAATGTACACTACCATTTACACGTTTGAGATCACTTGTCATAGTAATCATTCTTGTTAATTTAGTCAATCATAAAGTATACAATATAGATTGAATATTATAAACTAGATTGCAAAATGTTAGATGCTTAGGTCAATATTTCTAGTATGTTTAGGAAAGACAAGAATGATAAATAATATTTTGTAGTTATCCGATTTCTTGTCAAGTTATCAACTTTGAGATTTGATCACCACTTTTCAAATATAAGGCATTCGGTATGCTATATTTTATTATTACTTACGTTTCTATGTTATATAGCTTTCATATTTATTATGGAATTGTCTATAGCTCTGTTCATCATTCTGAACCCATGTAATATTTCTTGCTACTTTCCACAAATTCTTCAATACTTCACACAGTACTAGCATCATATTAGAATAATTTTATATATATGTATCTGCAACATAATTGTTTTTCTATCTGTATAATTATTTTTATAGAAATGAAAACCAAACCTTTAAAAATTTTAATAGTAGTGAGTAAAGGCTAGCAATATCTTGCTCCTAATTTAATTTAATTTGTCATTGGAGGTTCATATCCTGTGTTTATTAATGCCCAGCAAGCAAAAAGTGACAAAAGTAACTGTTGACTTTTTTGTTCACAGTTTCAAAGATTGGGCGTATACTACAGTATAGTATTCCAACAAAGTCTTGTCACATGCAGCTTTCTCATCCATGCAGCCCTGGTGAAGTAGGATATGAGCCATTGATCTTGGCCTGAGATTTGATAAAGGTTGATTAAATTGGTGCAGAATGGCCGTGATTGATTTGACCTGCTGAAATGCTTCAGTGCTCAGGCAGTAGTGTAAAGGCATCTGTGGTGGACTATGTGGTGGCACACAGCCATAGCAGAGGTCTTTCCCATAAAGGCACTCTTTTGGGAGAGCAGGGGAAAGAGAGGCCAGACATGTGTAGATCATAAACATTACATAAAAATGAGTAGCTGAATGAGATGCAGGAATGCAGGAACAGGTTGTGATAATGCACTGGCACAGATTAAGGGTGGGGGGCATGTTTTGTGAATAGTGAGATTTCATTATTTCCTATCTAGCTATCTAGTTAGCTAGAAAGCTATGTACTGTTCACACTTAAATGCTAATAATAGAATAATCTATACAGTCCTGTATAGATGCTATACTAGTCAAAAAAGATTTGTACAAATTCAGTCAACTGTACTATGTGCAGAATGCAGATGTATTATGTAAGAATTTAAATGATGCACAGTAGAAAAAAATGCCAAAGTAATGAGCAAGAAATTGATTCTTTAAAAGTAATGTACTATATATGACAGTATAGTAAGTCTTAATATGGTCTAATTGTTTGTGTATGTTTAGATAGATTTGCACTGCTGCCTGACAGTGCTGTCCCCCCAGAAAGTGGAGTCTCTTACTGCATAACCATTTCCCCCCTCACACCTTCTCCTCCCCAATCCACCCCTTGCAGAATCTCTCCCAGACCCATAAATCATTCCCTAAACCCCTCAGAGAGAGATTAGCACTGATTGAGGTGAAAACAAAATATGTACGTGCACACACACAGACGCACAGACACACTTTTAGTATGTTGTCATTTGGCCTCACAGTTTAACGGTGACCTTTCATCCCAATTAGAGACAGCTGCAGTGAAATGTTTATTATTGTGCTCTTGGTTTTCTATCTTTCTTAATCTCTTTCTTCTCTCCTCTGCTCACTCTAAGCCACTAGCTGTAATATGTGTCCTTTAAGTTCAATGGTTTCACCTTTGACCTGGAGAGAGATTATATTTTGTGAAGCTTTGGCACCAAGTAAGACCTTGACCAGGTCAGACAGGTATGGCAAGTAGCGTAAAAGGATGAGTGAGTGAGGAAATTGAGCTTTGGCAAAATAAAATGGTTTCACTTAAAAACTTTATCTCCTCTGTTACACTGAGGCTTACAGGGCTCAGTGACATTACAGACAGGTCCTGGACATTTCCACCACAGGCCCAGTTCTAACAGGAGAAGATGGATAGTATGATAGAGAAAACTAATCTGACACTCTATTTCTCCTCCCTCTTTACAGCTAACCAGAACACTACTGGACTGTGGTCATTACATACCAGCCTTCTGAGGCACTTAATAAATACTGCCCATTTTTTCTTTAGTTATGAACTAACACTTTTCTGCCAAAAGAGTGACCTGTACACTGAGTTGCTACCCTCTATCCCATGCATCAATGGAAAGGGACCACCATAGTGGGCAAGGTGATGCCTAATATATCATTAGCATTATATTTTGTTGTTTGGCTTTATCAGTTATGTGCAGACCTGCTTTAGTACGTAACATTTCTGATTTCAATTTCGATGTCAATAGAATCTACCCTATCAGTGACTTCTTACTTATATGACATTTGTTTACATTTTTTAGGTCCCTATCAAATATGCTAGTCAACACTAAGTGAACATGAACTAAAATGCAGCAATGTGTATTTCTCTGCTTTTGTCCAGACCAAGATAACCAAAATACACATATAAACTCATCCTTAAGTACCATTATCATATTGGTGTCACTGCTGTACTGAAAATGCTCCACTGCCAAAATAATCTGGTTAACGGTGGTCCTGTGGTGGTCTCTTTCCATTGATTGATGGGTTAAATAAGCCTGATAAATTCAGTAGCAATAGATGGGCTCCCGTCACCTACAGATCTGTGCAAAGTTTGGGCACCCCTGGCCAAATTATATATTTTGTTGATGAAGTGAAAGTTTAATTGATACAGGAGTGGAGAAGCATCATTCTACTGTGCAGTGTTGCTTGCACAAATGTGATCGAGTCACCTGAAAGAAACGGTAACACTTTACTGGATTGTACTGCTCATAAGGCTACATGACATGTGTATAAGCTTGTCGTACCAACTGACACAGCCCTACAAAAATGTTTTTAAGTGCCTGTTCCAACAGGCATCATCTGTCATAAAGGCTACTTTAGCTAACTTGGATCAAAATTGGTAAATGTAACCTTTACAGCAAATGATGATTATTGGAGTAAGCCTTCATGCATTTATTTAGGTTTATGTCAGTTGGTATGAAAAGCTTATATAGGGGTCATGTAGCTTTATGAACCATTTCCTACCGTGAAGTGTTACCAAAGAAACATTACCTGCGACCTCATCAGAAAATCAACCATTGAAGTATGCAAAACATCTAGATAAATCAGAGGCATTTTGGAAAGTGCTGTGGATGAAGTAACAATGGAACACAATCAACAAAGGTATGTTTGTAGAAAAAAGGAGCAGCATTTGATGTAAAAAACAAAACAAAACAAAACAAAATAAAATAAAAACAAACCTTGCCAACTGTTAAGCACAGGTACATCTGTTATGCCTTGGTGTCATGTGGCAACCGGTGGCACAGGAAACATTGCAGAATGAATTTCACTAAATATTAGTAAATGTGACACAGTCTGTCAAGAAACTGAAGCTGAAGAAACATGATCCACGTTGATCCAAAACATACCTCAAAATCCACCACAAACTGCTTCAAGAAATGCAATCTGAAGCTCTTGCAATGGCCCTCACAGTCCCCTGACTTGAACATTATTGAAAATCTGGGGGTACTGCATTGTGTGCATGCAAGATGGCCCAAGAATACTGCAGAATGGAGGCGTTTTGCAAGGAAGGAGTCAGTAAAAATTCTTAAAACAAAACAGAAAGACTCCTAACTGGCCACAAGAGGTGTTTGCAGGCCGTGATGTCTGCCAGGTTGGTTGTTACTAAGTACTGACTAAGTATTTTAAAGGCACTGACCTTTCTATTTTAAGTCAATGAAAAGTAAAGAAACTGTGCATTAAAATGTTTTTATAAATAATTTGCTGCAGTGGTTGTGTTTACTTCTTTTCACTGCAAAAATCAACAAAATATATTAAAGCCATAGGTGCATGAACTTGTGCATCCAACTGTATATGGTAGCTATACCTGAAATGGCCAATAAGTATAAATACAGTGTAAGAATTCCTAATAAACTGGCAATTTGGTGTACACAAGAGCGCTGAGTGGAGTACAGTAATAGCATGGTGGCTGAAAAGTGGTGTTTAAAAAAGTTGGTAAAAGATATACATAGTGTCCTTGCGTGAATAGTGTTTTAAATTGATAAACTCTCCTAAGCCCTGGGTCTAAAGCAGGGGTGCACAGCTCAGGGCCTGGAACGCTGGTGCCCAGCACAGTTGGTGATTTGCCCCTTCAAACAAACCTAATTAGACTTATCTGTTAATTGCCAGATTTAATGGGTGTGTTTGAGTAGGGAAACCTCCAAACTGTGCTGGACACTGACCCTCCAGGACTGAAGTTGTACACCCCTGGTCTGAAGCATTGAAAAAGGTTAGTCCAGGGCAAAACCTGTCTGCAATGTTATTTAACTGACAAGGGGAAACCGCTTGAAACATGGCAGTCTGATTGGGTGTTGTATAAAGACCATAAAGATGCGTTGTAGGGGGAGATGGGCAGCTCTGGAATAGGGATGTGCATTCCATCTAATTTTAATTTTCAAGTATTTTCCAAATTAATGAACGGATATCCGGTTAACTGGGAAAAAACATGAAAAGGGTACTTCGATATATATTTGTGTATTTTTGGAGCTGGGAATTTACTCTGTTAGGTGGTAGTGCCGGTGTACTGAGGCTAAAAAAATCAGTAGCAAAGAAAATTAGCAGCAAGCAGAGGAATACGTTTGAAAACATGTTTTACTATTCCAAAAATGCCAAGGAATATCAGTTGTTTTGTTTTAAATGAGTAATGGAGGCTGCCTCTTCAGATGAGAGTTAAAATGGTATGACGGCAATGTTCTACTTTCATCAGGGAAATATATTTTCACTCTTTCTTGACCTAGCTAACATCAGCTAGACTAGTTAGGGTAGTTACCAATAAAGACACACTACATTTGCCTTCTCAGTGTTAAAGAGCATCGTTAGCACTGAATCCTTAACAGTGTGCTCAGGTTTATTTGTTTTTGAGAGTGGCACCGTGTTATACACATACTTGCTCACAAATATGAGCAAAACTATAATTTTTATTTGTCCTGTTAAAACATGAAAGTGGCATTTTATTGAATTGTTGGTCTCTGTCTTCCTGTGGTGAAATGGCCCAAATAGTGGTTTCAGTATTCAAAAACTGGAACCTTTAATGGTTAACAGAGTACTCGAATACCCATGCACATTACTAGTCTGGAACAGTCTCACACACTGCCTGGTGAGAAGAATTTCTTTACGCTACAACATGTCCAAAGATGCGCACACACACACACAAATACACGCAAACACCTTGCCTTGCGTTGTCAAACATCTGGTGTTTAACAGCTCAGTCGGAGCCAATTAAAGAACATCATGTCACAGCTTTGATTTGCATTAAGCTAAGATGGGGGTGTAACTGGACTAGAAACACAGACCTTAGCCACAGCTTTTTATTTACCCACTGGCCTGAAGTCCTGGCCACTGTTCCACTGACTTACTTAATCAGGACAGCGAAATCCCCCTGCTGCCGTGGATTCCACCAGATCCCTCAGGCTTTAAGATCTGTCACAAAGTTATTCCTGAATTTTAAGCAGACTTCTATTAGTATGGAGCTTGAAGGCGACTGAGAGTTGGCCTTGATTTGTATTTAACCATTCTAATTTTTATTTGTGCTACTGAATTTAATTGCACCTGTGTCCTGTAGCCTAAAAGCAGCACTCTGCAGCTAACTCTATAGCTCTACAGCTATTTTTGGCTTTGCAGGCTTTTGAAATTCATTTAACTGGATTGAACAGTTGAGAACAAAGAAATAAATCTGTCAGTCACGCTCTTGTGTTTGTAAGTAGAAGACGACTCACTTTTTTAGGTAAATTGAAAAGTTTTTTTGTGTGTAGGGTTTCTGGTAGTAATGTTGTTGATCATTATGGAGACTTTAGAATTTAGAGAATTTAGGCAAAAAAAAACTGCAGTTAAAGTCTGTGCTGACCTTAATGTTTGTACCTTGTCTGGGTTGTTGTAGGTTTACTGACCTGGTTGACTCATGTGGTAAAGTGGACTTGGCTCTGCTCTCGCCACCCCAGAAGGAGTACTGGTCTATGCTGGCCTACAATCGGGCCAAACTTTGCAACATCCTGTTTTCCAATGAGCTACACCGCCGCCTGTCACCTCACGGGGTCATATCCAATGCAGTGCATCCGGGGAACATGATGTATACATCCATCCATCGCAGCTGGTGGCTCATGACTTTCCTCTTCACCCTGGCACGTCCATTCACCAAGTCCATGGTAAGCACAGGCTGCTTCTCTGTCTCGTCGTTGGGGATGTCACTGCTCCACTCTCTCTGTCTGCTGTGTGGGGGGGATGTTAAGTTAGCAACAATTTTTTTTTGTCTATCTATCTAACTATATATATATATATATATACATATATATATATATATATATATATATATATATATATATATATATATATATATATGTTTACACGCACACACACAAGTAATAAGTATTGGATACCTACACAATGTTTGTCTGATATAATGACAAATGACAAAAGGAAATGCAGTGCAGTCAGAAACCACTCTTCATTTATTCAATTTCCAGCCATTTCCAAGTCATTATTCATTTTCAGGACCAAAAAAAAAGAAAACATATATTTACATACATATACCTATATATACAGAAAAGCTTCAACAACTAATTGTAATATCAAATTTCCAGTGTTTAATGTGTCTACCCTTTACTTTCATTGCAGCTTTCATCCTTTTTGGGAGGCTTGCTATTAGTTTTTCAGCTGGAATGTTTTTCCACAGCTCCAAAGTTCAGGTGTAGAAGTCGGTTGTATTTTCTGTTTCTTATGATCCAAATAATCCCAAACATTCAGTGATGTTGAGGTCTGGACTCTGGGTTGGCCAGTCTGCTGTTCTGACAACACCAGCAGATTCTTTCTGTTTTGATTTGCAGATTTTCTTCTTTCTTTTTTGTCTATTTTCGTTTCTCAGTAACAGCTTCTTGACAGCTACACATTCTTTCAGACCCATAGTGTTGAATTGTCTTCTCACACTTAAAGGATGGACAGATCTGAAGTAAGAGTGGAGCTTGATTTTCTCCTCTCTCTCAAAAGATGAAAGCTTTAAGTTCTGTTTATCTGATGGTGACAGTTTTGATGGTCTGCCAGGTATAATTATTAGTATTCCTATTTTCTCTATATCTTCTAATCATAATCCAGTTTTGGAATCATGTTTTTTTTTAAACTTATGTTTATTTTATTCTATTGATTTTTTTTATTTCTTCGTTCTTTATAGAGGTCTTTTATTTTATATCTGATATCCTCAGGAATATCTTCTGAAAATTGAATACTTTGTACTTGGGGCCATAATGACTGGAGATTAAATAAATGAAGGGTAGTCCTGACTTTTGTGCAGTTACTTTAAATAGAGAGTGTATTGTTTTGTGTATTAGAGTATAAGGCTTATCTGCTTGGTTTTGCCATTTAAAAGAAAATGCTACTCAGAAATATTTTATACTTTTGTTTGAAATGCTGGCAGAAGAAGAGCACAGTTTAAACTGCTAAATGCTATGTTACTGTTGTTTTGTTTGATCTGTAGCAGAGAGTGTGATTTCAGAGGTGTGTATTTGGACATGCTTAGTGCGTGTGTGTCTGCGTGTGTCTGCGCGCGCGTGTGTGTGTGCGTGCGTGCGCACGCAGCTGTCAGGCTCAAATAGCCTAGTGTGGCATAAATCAGATGAGCAGCTCTTCCTGCAGACCACACTCAGCCGTTTTAGCCAGAAGCTGGAAGTCACACACACTTACAGAGACAAACTATAAAACTCAACATCGTCATAAATCATAAGCCATATCTGCTGCTCATATGCCTGTGGCCCTTTCTCGCTGTCATCATTTGCTTTAGGCCACACATTGCATTTGATGTATGCTTTGTTTTAAATATGACAACTTTTTGTGTTACGTTCCTCTCCTCCTTTTTCATCAGTTTTTGTGTGTGCACTGAGGGGCAAGTTTGATATAGTGTTCAGCTGCATTCCAACAGAGCTCATCTGAACTGATTATATTTTAAAGAGATGTAATGGGTGGTAGGAATTTCCGATGGCTTTCTGCGTACCACTCAGCCATAACTCAAAGGCAGCCTGTCATTGCTTGACTTTTCATTCATATTTGATATAGGCGGTTTTAGGTTGGAGATGTGTAAGCTTTTTAGTTGTTAGAGACAACTTGTATATCGTTCCTCGCTAGCTATAATAACAATTTTCCTGTAACAATCATACTTGATAGAAAATGCAACTAATAAATAAGAAAATAAGATTAACAAGTAATGGAATAAAAATGTCTATGGAGCACACTCGGGCAACACTGGGATTTCTTTAAAACACAGGAAGACAAAAGCATCATCAGTAATTAGCATCATTTGCTGACAGTGCTGTTAATTTCTTTGTGATTACAGTCCAGTCCCAAAAGCTGAACATTTGCTCTTTACTCACCCCTTTCAGAGATAAGTTAAAGTGCATATCTCTCTCTCTCTCTCGGACGTGTGTACTCTCGTTAACACTCTCTCTCAATCTCTCTCTTACTCTTGCTCTTTCTCTCTCTCTTGCCTGGACCGTGAATAGCACAGAGCTTAATATAAAACCCTGATATTATTTTATTTATTGGTTACGGTGATATGAAGATGGTATCGTTTTAATTGCTTGCAAACGCATCTGTGATCCTGGGAGACTGCTGAAGGTTGCAAACATAAGCATAATGCTGCCAGGAAGAGGCTCAAAACAATATTAGACCTGAGTACAGCAACACGGATAAAATGCCTTTTAGAATAGGCTGTGGAAGATTTATAATCGCACCAGTGAATAAAGTCTCTTGCTTAACATGTGAACAGAAGGCTCCTGTGATAAGCGTAGTGTTTTTGAAAGATGCCAGAATTTAGTTGTCCAAAACCACTGCATTACAGGTGGAAAAAAATTACTGTTTGCCTTTTTACACACTCTTTGTACCTGTTCGTCCATGTACTTTCTAGCCAAATGTTCAGCATGTCAAACAGGTCCAGGAAGTAGTGTCTGCTGTCTTTTGTTTGTAAACCGTGTGTTGGTGAGTTTTAACAGTGGTGTAGAGACTTCTTGAAAAACTGCGCTCTGTCTGTGTTACAGTTGCTGCTGAGAGAATCTTCTCGAGTTGGAATAAAAGATGCATTTGAGGATGCCTTTATTTGCAGAATCATGATACTGTCTGCATTTTGTGTACAAATCTACCTGTATGGACATTGTTCGCACAAGTGCTCCTTTTTTTTTTTTACAGAATTTGAAAAGCAGGCTGTTTTTTAAATTTTGTTAAAATTGGTTGTTTTGTTCCATATTAATTTTCTTGAAAATTTCTTCTTTCTGTTTCAAAAATCTGTTCATATTCTCATTACACCGACTGACTAAAATGTATCCCATTTCAGGTTTCTCTTAATTACTTTGATAAACATGATTGTAAACGCTCTAAACTTATTTAATGATTAATGAATTCATATTGCAAAGCAAGCAAAACACTAAACAGTTTTATTATGTTTTAATATGGGTTGCTGTATCGTCCAGATGCTTAGAAACACAACATTAATGGGATGCATGAATTAGTGATATATACAAAAATGGTGATAAAAAAGAGTAAAAAGTGCAGCAGCAGGGCTGCCAGATAAAACCTGCTAATTAACAGTTTTCTCAATGATGGTAAAAATCTGTAAAATGCTGCAGATTTCACAGTTTTTGCAGATTTTAATTTCTTAGAAATACTGCCTTTTACTACAATTCACTGAGAGGACACCACTCAAAAAAACTTTTATTACATATGCGCGTGTGTATATATATGTAAACACATGTGTGGTGTGTGTGTGTGTATATATAGCTATTTTATACTGTTGATATTTCTTTTAGCCTTACATTGTTCTCATTTTTATGGCTCAAGGTCAAATATTAGGCTCAAAGGTAAAAGTGTTCGCCTGCTAAGTGACCCTCTGTGTGTGCTATGCATGTCCCATTTGACGGCCGTAACCTTTGTGATTGTGTTGTCAGACAGCTGTTTTAGCGTGTTTGGCATGACATTTCTGAGGCGTCTGGCCAACGGTGGCACGTGTTTAATGGCTGCTGGATACGTTGGAGAGGGCTGATGGTAAAGGGGGGCATTTGGACTCCATGGCCCAATCACTGCCTCCTCCCACCCTGCAGCCCGTGTCACCGGGAGATCGCCCCATGCCTCTCTGCATGCTTTCAGCATTTTAGGGCAATTATTTTCCGTGGTATTCTGCCTCAGGCTTGTAGCTACCTTTTTACATATGCACGGCCTGAACTTTTGACCACGGCCCAATAGTCGTATATTAGCCGGCGGTTTGCTCTAAAAGAGGGACTTTAACAAGTTCCTCTGTGCATTGGCACTTGTCTTCCCACTTGCCTGCAAGGTAATTTAACCAGACTGGTCCTACGGCTTCCTTATGGGAGCTTCAATCTCTCTCTCTCTCTCTCTCTCTCTCTCTCTCTCTCTCTTCTCTCTCTCTCTCTCTCTCTCTCTCTCTCTCTCTCTGCTCTCTCTCTCTCTCTCTCTCTTCCTCCCTCCCCTTTGTCTCTCCCCCTCTGGTCCCCCTTTCCCCAGTCCCCCTCTCCCTCACTTGGGGAAGGAGAGAGAGAGAGGGGAGGATGGTGGAGACTCCAGTGATGGATTTCTTTTCATGCCCAGCTAACGAGGGCTCTGCTTCTATTAGCACTCCACAGCACAGAGGCGTTCCCCATTTTCTCTCTCTTTCTCTCTCTCTCTCTCTCTCTCTCTCTCTCTCTCTCCTGTCTTTTTTTAAATGAAGTGTCGTCACCCTGTGAGGCTGGGAATCGTCCCTCTGCTGTCTATGCAGCTGTGAGCCATGCTTTGCGTGTTTTCCCCTGGTAAGCGGGTGTAAGGTCAGGTGTTGTTATCTGGTGTTATGGCGGGTATGTAGGTGTGGAGCGGCTGACAGGTGCTCACTGGAGCAGAGAGGAGAGGAGCAGAGGTCTGCACCCAGGCCTCCCTCCAGTGCACCACCACCCAATCAGCTACTAGCAGCCGTAATACACTCATAATTGGTGATTAGGACCTTCAGTAAGAACAGGGAGTGCTTCATGCACTCTGAACATACAACTACAGCTACACCCTTTCTACCCAGGAACATTGAAACTGTTGTCTGTTCTCTAAACACCCTGACTTAGTATTTCTCATCCACAGTGGCTGTGTGTGTGTATACACATACATGTCACATCAATATGGAGAAATA